AATGAGTCAACTTGTTTGTGCAGTCCCAGGCACCAACCAAACACCACAAATCTCTTGTGCTACAACCATTTCCCATGGAACCCAAAAGCAGGAAGAAAGTTTTTAGTTCCTGACTTTCCAAGGTCGTAACTCAGCTCAATAGCAGAACGCAAAGGAGAATAAAGACACCCTTCAAGTTCAAAACTTGTTTATCTGTTCCAGCGCATCCTTCCAAGCATATAAATCCTTGTTCTTCAATTCCTCCACCACTGTGACTATCAGAAGTGGCAATCCACCACAGCTCTTCGCTACTTTTTCGGCCACTGATTGAATGCTAGGGTCCCTAACCTCATTCCCTGCTCTCTTCTCAAACAACTCCCAACTTTCATCATCAGACAACAACCTCAGCCTACAAAACTTCCCTGACCCAAAATTAAACTCAACCACATTACGATTCCTGGATGTGACCAACAACTGGCATCTGCAACCTTTGTTGTCCTCACCAAAAGGCACACCAATCTTTGTCAAATCAAGCTTCCCCCACAAATCATCCAACACCACAAGAATTCTCTGCTCCTGCTGAATCCTCTGGCGCAACCGGCTCGCTCGCCCCAGCTCCGTCAGCTCATCAAACTTCAACCCCAACCCATCAGCAATCTCATTGCGGATCCTTCCCACATCCAGCGAATCCGTCACGGTGGCCACCACCACCACATCAAACAAGCCATCCTTCTCAACCTGCCACGCCAATTCCTTCACCATTGCAGTTTTCCCCACGCCAGCCACTCCATACACTCCAACAAGTCCACCCCACCATCCTTCAGCATCTTCACACATCATTCACATCACAGATCTCGATTGAATAGCAACATACTCTCTTTCGCTGGACCAACATTGCATCTTAAGGCACGCCTATAGGAAACACGATCAAACGTCTCTTTCCTTACCTCCCTCACAATCTCCACCAAGGTTCTCGCTCTCTGGCTGTTGGTGTACTTCGAGTACACGTCCATACATCCTACCCTTTCCCTCTCTTCCTCCTCAAGGAATGCCTGCCCCTGCTCCACAGCTGCACGCACTCTGTCGAACCAGTCACGCACGGTGTCCTCGATCTCTTCACCGCCCCTTTTGGCGGCTTCAACCGTGTGCCTCACTTCCTTCTCCTCACTCTGCAGCCTCTTAATCTCCGTTTCCAGCTCTGTCAGGTAAGTGCTGTACATCAACACGTAGGTGATGTTTCGCAGCAGGGGTGCAGCCACGCTTGATGCCACGCTCGCTATAGTATCCATAGTTCTTTGAGTTTATCTGCTAAAACCCATGGAACAAACTAAATTTTCTTCCACATTCTGATGTAAAGTCAAAGAGTTCAACAACAAAAAAAGATTTTTATTGCTGGGTGTGTGATTGGAGATCCTACTTACCTGTTTCAGTCTGGGCTGAGGATGCTGAATAACAGTAGCCGAATGATGTTTATCTCTCTCAGTATAATAAAATTAACATGCTTAAGTTCATAATGGAGTGGAAAATAAAAATGGATAGGTAACGCAGGGACAACACATCAAAAGTCTCACGTATTTTACTTTTGGTACCACCTCAAAAAAAACTCAAACCTCAAAAAAAACTCAAACCAATTGAGATTGAGATATCTGTGTATATAAATTTATATAAATTTATATTCATATAAGGCATGAATTTGTTTGTAACTAATAATCCCTTCTTTCAAATAGTTTTATCAAAGTTATCAAGTGATTCTAAATTATCATAACACATGATATATAATTAAGTGTTATTATTTTTTATTAAATTATAAAATCTGAATTTGTTGTGTAAAGATTGAATGAAACCATGGCACTAGAAAATCTTATACTATCTGATCCTTTGTCATTGTGAAACAGTAGCATTCAACATTAATTCTAGTTATTATTTTTTCAAAAATTAACGTGCAATATTCACCTCTTATACTGCTACTTTTGTTTGCATATATTATCATCGTTTTTTTTCATGGAGAAGGAGGGATACAGACAAAAGAGAGATTGTAGAGCCACCAAATACTGAATGTGTGGCAGAAAGTTGCAACTCCATTATTGTCGTGATTATGACACGAGGAAATATGGGTGGCACAGTGAACTAAAATGTATACAGAAAAAATTTTAAAGACTAATATATTTTGGTAACGTGTAATTTAATATTTATTCCATCTTGGAAACGGGATTCAACTACAATAGCGTCAGGTTGCAGAAATTGTCAGCAAGGATTACCAGTGCTTTGTCGACAAACTACATTATTCAATTGTCCGTGTGATACTCGTTCAACCAAACAGCGATTCTTTATTTCTCTTTTCATTGGATAAATTCTGGTTAATTATTCCGGCAATTTATTTTCGTATGTTTTTAGAAATTTTTGTTGTTTTCAAATTTTAGCACTAGGTCATTTTTTAACTGGATACTTTCTAAATTTATCTATTTTTTATTAAATTATATACTTGTCACAGAAAAGAAAATAATTTTTGAACATTTATTATTCTGAAAATAAATAATATTCAATAAATTTTTTATAACCAATTTTACAAGGATAAAAAAATTATAATTACTATATTTTACAAGATCTAACGATTTTTCATGTAGAATAAATTATCAAACACGATAATGTATCTAATTATCAATTATCACATGGTGTTCAGCTTTATTCGAAAAAAATTATTAAAAAGTATTTTAGATAAAAAATAATAATTTTCCCATAAACTAAATTATTGTAGAATTTATTTGGTATTGACTTCTCCCACATTAAGTTGTATCTAAACTAACCTACTAAAAAATGAAAAATAATAAATGGTGACCAAATTTTAGTGATAAAAGATATTAGTCACTGACTAAATTAGTGATCAATTCAGTCACTGAATTCTCAGTCATAAAAGATAAATAACTAAATCAATCACTCTGTTATTAAAAAAGTGATAAATAGTGATCGAATTTAGAAAATAAAAAATATAATGTTATAGGTGACCAGATGAATGACAATTTTTTGTTTTTAATTTAATGATTGATTTAGTGACCAAATTTTTAGTTACTCAAATCGTCCCTAATTCAGTCTCTAAATTGGTAATTAATTTCAATCACTAAATTAATAACTAATTTTAGTCATTGGTTTTTAATTTATTTATATTTTTGACATATTGTTAGTAACTAGTAATCATAAAAATAATTTATTTATTTAGAGACAATTTTTTTTATTAATAACGTGTAATTAGAAAATTTTTAGTCCCTTTTAATCATTAAATTAATATTTTAATATTTAAAAGATTATATATATATATATATATATATATTAAAACTATTCTTAAGTATAATTATTTACATAAAAAAAAGTGTCTAATACTTTAGAGTAGTGGGAGTTTTATAAAAAGAGAAGAGTGTAATATTAAATTTTTAGTAAAGAAAGTTTATTTTTCTAATACTTTAGAGTAGTGGGAGTTTTATAAAAAGAGAAGAGTTGTTATATTAAATTTTTTAAGTAAAGAAATAGCATTGGCCTAAGTGAATCTCCTAGGAAGGATCAATTGATACCAATTGTTAATAGCACATGGTCTAGGGATTTTCTCCAACAGATTTGCTTTTGGTACCATCCCAAAAAACCTCTTTCTAAGGGAAATATCTTATGTGTATATAAATTCATGTTTATATCTTGTTTTATTTGATGTAAGACTTTGTTTGTACCCAACACGAAGAACTAGAATAAAGAAGCGTGCGAGCAGGAAAGGTTCAGAGAATAGCGAAGAAAAGTAAGTCATAGACTTTAATATGTTTTTAGTCAGTAAACTTAAAAAAAATTAAAGTTTGTTCATGTACCAAACTTAGATACTATTTGATTTTTAAACTTTAAAAATGAATAAATATAACCTTTCTAATCCAATTGCATTAAATGTTTTTTATCTTACCTGACACATTCTTCAAATGTCAACTTAGAATGTCATTTAACACAAAAAAATGCATTGTTGGGTAAGAAAAATGTATAAAATGAGAATTAGGGGATAGAGGTTCAAATGGTCAATTGTAATAGTTTAGTTAAGTCAATTGTGACTTGTTTGAAGTCTTACCTTGTTGAAAAATGTGTCAAAAGTGATAAATCATGAATTAAGTCCTTAGGTTGTTGAATTGTAAGTTTTGGGGTAGAAATTGGTTCATAAACAATTTAGATTGATGTTATGAAGGTTTAGAATCACTTAGTCAAGTCTAACCAGGTATATAAAAGCAGCCCACATACACATAGGGATTTACTTTTGGCACTACTCCAAAATCCATGGTCAATGTGAGCATTTCTTACTCTCCATCTCTCATGATTTATCTGGCTATCTGCCACCGGCCATCTGCCGAGGCTTTACCTTATCATGGAGGGTCATAATCATCTAAGCCCGATCACCAAACCTGAACCATGGGCTGTCGACTATGTAAGGAATCAACACCACTCTTTACCCAAAATCTTAAGACAATGGGTTAACGAGTCTTTCACCTTTATACTGCTCTATTTTCTAATTTCTATCCAATGTGGGACTTGGACTCACACCTGGATTCCCAACATTTAGTCATTAAACTTAAAAAAAATTTAAAGTTTGTTCATGTACCAAACTTTGATACTATTTGATTTTTACACATTCTTCAAATGTCAACTTAAAATGTTATTTAACACACAAAAAAATGCATTGTTGGGTAAGGAAAATGTATAAAAGTTTTGGACAAACACAAATCTCAATTTTGGATCCAAGTTTAAGAAGTAATTTAACCATATTTTCATATATAAACTATTTTGTACAATGCTTGTTTTTGTATTTATAGGTCACGATTGACTACTTAGCAGCCAAATTTTAACAGAATCGGGAAAAAAATCCATTAAGAACGATAATGTAACGTAAAACTTCTGACAATCACTTTCCTGCTGTGTGAGGAACAAAACGAGAAGGTTCTAAGTTGTTCAATCTTTACTCTTCTTCACACAATTAACAACTCTTGTGTTAGAAAATTCTTCGCTGATAACACATTTGTTTGGGTACATGGAACAAAGAAAAAGCCGGAGCTGGAATAGCAATTTATATAATCATATTGCCTATGCTTAAATAATCAACATATTTCACATATGAAGGTGAAGGTTAACATTTTCGTGCTTTAATTTTCTATCTTGGGTTTAACACTGTGATGGAAAGTTCATTATCTGAGAACGGTTTGCGATTTGCTGATGGAGAATTTGCTTTGCTAACATCATCAATTTCAGTGTAAAATGCAGGAGCCTTTGGGTTTGGCAATAATTTATCGCCATTTAACATTAAAACCACAGATGACATGTCTGGCCTATCCTCTGGTCTTTGTTGTACACATAATAGACCTACTTGTATGCATCTTATAACTTCAAACACCGTGCACTCTTCTTCTAACACTTCATCTAGTACTAGTTCCAGTGCCCTGTCTTCGCTCCATAATTTCCATGCCTAAGATGGTAAGAATTTAATTCGTATCAGTAAATAATTCACTTTATACTAATTACCAATATAGTCAAATCAGTATGCTTACATGCCCAAGAAGATTGTTGCAGTGTTCTGGGTCCGAAAATTCTCTGTTTTTCTTACCACATAGAACCTCTAGTACAATGACACCATAACTAAAGACATCTGATTTCACTGAGAAATGCCCACGCACAGCATATTCAGGAGGTATGTAGCCACTGAAAAATTAATTTTTGAAGTAGTTAAAACTTGACAGGAGAAATCAGACAATCATAATATATAGAAAGTAACTCACTATGTTCCTGCCACCCTATTAGTTTTTGCCTCAACTTGATCTCCCAAAACCAATCGAGCCAAGCCAAAGTCTGATATTTTGGGATCCAAATTCGCATCTAGTAAAACATTACTAGGTTTTAGATCTCTATGAATAATCCTCAATGTAGAGTCTTGGTGAAGATAAAGGAGTCCTCGAGCAATGCCACTAATGATGTTGAAACGCTTACGCCAATCTAAGAACTTCCTTTTACCTTCATCTAGTCAAATACACACATTTCACATGGCAGTTCAAGTCTACATAATTACCTGAGCTATAAATAAGAAATAGAATAATTGTAACTTAGAATAATAAATCATAAAGGTTCCAACCAAAAACAACGTAGTCCAAGCTGTGGTTCGGCATGTACTCGTATATTAGCATTTTTTCTTCTCCTTCAATGCAGCAACCAAGAAGCTTTACCAGATTACGATGCTGAAGGTTGGCCATCAATGCAACTTCATTTTTGAACTCATCCAACCCTTGCAAAGATTTCTGAGAAAGCCTTTTCACAGCTAACTCTTTCCCATCCATCAGTGTGCCCTGAAAAATATTCTTCTTCTATAGTTAGAAAGTGTTTGAAGAAAATATTGTTCTGCACCTTAGTTTTCACCATCACCTTGTATACTGGTCCAAAACCCCCTTCTCCAAGCTTGTTTTCGGTTGAAAAGTTTCCAGTGGCACTGGCTAAGACTGAGAAATCGAAAGTTGGCAAATCTATCACTTCCCTCCTCTGCATATTTTTGTAATGCTTGTTGCAAAATTTTCTTGCAGCCTCTGATGAGTTAGAGAATAACAGTACGTAAACATGGCCATAAAATATGCACATATTTTTTTCGGGCCTAATAGTCTGTAATAGAAGCTAAATTATATCTATATACTTACTTACCTGGATTTTTAATTCCCAGTATGCATACACATGTCATGATTAATCCAAAAATAGTCACACCAACAATGATTCCTACAATGTTTTTCTTGTCGTTTCCGTGATCTGAAATAAACAGAGCGTAGTTTGTTTATAAGTTAAAAAAATAAACAATTGCAACACAAAAAACAATAGTTGAGCACCTAATTCTGAAGCAGGGACTCTGATATAGAAGTCTTGTCCCCATTTTGAGAAATTCCTCATGTCAACTAGATCATCGAACCAAAGTAGACAGCCACTACCTCCATCAAGAACATTTAGACTTGAATAACCTGTACAAGAACAGTTCATAAGGCATGACTGCTGACATTCATCAAGACTAATAGTCTCATCAAACCATGATGAAGAAGTGTCTGGCAATTTCATGTTTGTATACTTCCAGAAGCCATCTGTGTAACTATTTGTGCAATTAGATTTATTCCTTGGAACACAACCACTGAGCCAAATTGATATATTCCACTGATCTGGAGACTTGGGAACATAACCTCTCAGGCATTCGCAACTTGGGTGGTTACCATCATAATTGCATATAGAATTTGCACCACAAAAGGCATAATTCTCGCATTGATCTTGCTCTCCACTTGATAGAACTTGCTGTGTTCTTGCTTGAGTTGTCCAAAACAATATTTCTCCTGTGCCTGAAGGCGTCAATGTATATATGATAAACCCCGAACTCTCCTCAATCCCGTATTCGTAATACGCTTCTTTTTCATTGAGCACGAATCTTGGTGACGTGCCGTAGGTCGGACCTGGATTTCCCACTAGAGACAAACCATTCCATGATCCTCCTCTAAACACTATATCAGGTCCCTTGAACTTCATCATTTGAGGATATCCACTAAGATTCATTTTCAGAGCATATTCTCCAACAGCAGGATCATCAAAGCTTTTCCAAGAAGATAAAAACGTTTCCAAATCAGTCTCTAAGTTCCATCCAATTTTCATTCCTGGCATAAATGTATCACTTGGATGATCAAAACTCTGCCACAAGACGCCATCATCGTTGGCTTCTGGTCCCTTTTTAACTACAAAATTTCCCGAATCCAAGAGCTGAGCAATTGGATTATTCCCTGCTTTGCTTGAGATGTTGGATGATGACCAAATGGTGTGGTTTGTAGCATTGAGAAGAATAAGAATCCCTTTTTCATTGAGTTTGAGAACTCCTGATTTATTCTGAAGAGGCGTGTTTCGGTTTGCCACCCACACCACTGTGAAAGGGGATACATTTTTGTACCATATACCCAAGTATCGTCTTGTTGAATTTCCTGGGCTAAAGAAACCCACTTCAGTGATTCCATTTGCAGAAACCAAAGTGTTATCATCTTGGATTGATTCACTTACTGCTAAACTATCTAGTGAATTGGAAATTCTAGACAAGCAAGATAATAATAACAAACAAACAAATAACATTGTGACTTAATTTTTTTTTTCTTTCTGCCTCTCCCACTTGTACAAAAATTGAGGAGGAAGAACTACCATGAGGGTAGTTATAAATTGGCATAAGGATTGACCATGACAACGTCGCATCTTTGTAGAAAAAACTAAAGTAGAAGTTAGATGGTTTGACAAGAATGATAATATTCAATGTCAAGTAATTCCATTAAAAAAATTGCACCCGTTGAAATTAAGAATGCACCGATGGAAATTGAAAAAAAAAAAAAAAGAAGTTATTAATTATATAATAATCCAATAAACACGATCTGAGGTGAAATATTTTTCCATTATTTACCATCTAAAGCTTTTTGTATTTCTCGATACGATTTTTATATAATATTTAGCCGAAATTTTCCTCACTTCTTTTCGTGGTTCCTAATTTTTTTAATCATGGCTTTGACTTCATTTATTTTCTGTTCACATGAGAAGTATAATGGTGTGCTTATGAAAACGTCGGGTTCAACGACGATGCCATCCAGGAACGTTCCGTTTTCAGCATCACATTTACTAACGGCAAGCCAAATACATGCTAATTTCTTGTCTTTGGTCTCGCATTGAATTTAAAAAGACCGTTGTTTAACAAACACGCTACACACTATTGCGTAAGACTACATTCGTTGAATTTACATGAGATTGCCGTCATTGTGGTTCGAGTTATATATAAATTTTGGCATATAGTTTTGTTCTTACTAAAGAAGAGTGTGGATCTACTGATATGGCATGAAGAGACAAGATAATTAAGTTAGAGAAATATTCACTTGGAGAAAATTCTTCAATGTTGAAATCAATAAAAACATAGAAAATTAATATAAAACATTATATGATATTGATCAGAATGCATTAGATAAAAAAGTGGTACCAGAGTTTTCTACTCTAAGTGCCGAGTGAGAGAAAAAAAAAGAATGAAAGACTGAGTGCTTCAAAAAAAGTGAGAGTGCGTAAAAAAAGTGAGAGAGATGGTAAAAAATGTTAACATATTCTTGTGCCACAATTGTTGAAGAAGATCAATTATGATAATTGGTGTTTACAAATTAACATTCTTTTGGGATCCCAAGATGTATGTGATATAGTGGAGAGTGGGTACCAAGAACCAGCAGAGGACGTAAATGAGACGATAACACAGATTACCGTGTTGAAAAAGACAGGAGTAAAAGATATATATCAGCTTAGTACATTTTGTACAATGCAGTAGACGAATCCAGCTTTGACTAGCAAAAGCAACATCCTTAAAGAAAGCATGAGAGATTCTGGAGGTTGTGTACAGAGGAGACAATCATATTAGGCAAGTCCGACTTCAAACTCTTTGTAAGGAGTTTGAAAATTTGAAGATGAAAGACAGAGAACATGTGACTGAGTACCGGGTGGAAAAAAGTGGCAAATCAACTAAGTAGGAATGGAGAACCAATGCCTGCCAGATGGGTCGTGGAGAAGATTTTGAGATCATTGACGGATGATTTCTAAAACATTGTGTGCGCCATCGAGGAGTAAAAGGAATTGTCAGTTCTCTCATTGAAAGAGCTTCTTGGTTCACTTGAAGCCCACGAACAGTTGAAAAGGAAGAACTTTCAACCACTTGATCAAGCACAACATAAAGTGAAGGAAGATACTTGGAACAGTAAGGGATGATGTACTAGAGGACGTGGTAGAGATGATTTTGGAGATGATAGTGAAAAACAACCAGGTCAACAAAATTAGCATGACTAAAAGACAAGGGAAAGTTTGAGGAGGTGGGCCAGAAGTGGAGTGTTTAAGTGTGGTAAACATGACTAGTTTATGCAAACTAGGGCAGATCCATAAAATGTTATAATTGTGGTAAGGTCAGACACATTGCAAAGTAATACAAGGCTAAGACAATGGGGGAAGACAAATCTCCTTCCTGAAAATGCAGAGCAAGAGATAGGAATTTTGTTGATGGTCGGATGAAAACCCATTGGAGAGCCAGTATGTTTCTGTGTGGAGACCAAGTAGCCCAACTGAACTTGAGAACAACCTGGTTAGCCTGGTGGTGCCTTTGCGCAACTCAGAGCAATACAAAGGGAGCGCAAGTGAATCAATCCTGACCACACTATTGGTGATGCATAAGAATCGTAATTAAAACAAAGAGAATCATACAAAGATTAAAGTTCCATTACATTTGAAGCAAGAATTACAAATGGAAGATACTGAAATTCACCAAATGAGAAACTCACAAACGGTCACGTTTCCATGAACACCACTAGTGAAATCCAGAAGCAATTCGAAAGCGAATTAAAATCTACACTACTCTCTCGCACACGATCTTCTGTCTATTACTTTGTACACACACCCATGTATATCTCCTACTCATACTATACAGTACTCATGCCCCGATAAACTATTTACATCAGCTTTTTATAGGGTCCCAATCAAAGAAAAAGAAAAAGGGAAAGAGCAACGGAGAACCTTCGACGCTTCATCTTCACGATCCAACAGTCTCTATTCATCTCGCTCTCCAGCTAAGTCTTCAGCCCTCCGATTGCCTTCATCCTTTTCTTTCTTTCTGCCGATTGAGCCTCCCTACACATGCCTCTAGTTCATTTTCACGCTTCTAGGTAAGTGGCACACGAGCCATAGCTTTCTTCTTCCTTTCTCGTTTTCTCTTGCAAAAACCCTATCTCGAGGAGTCCTTCATTTGGGAATGAGTTCTTCTCGCCCATACCCCCAAATGCAGCCTCCAAACGACAGCGTTCCACTTGCTGCTACTATGCATTTTGCTTAAGGGCCCATTCCACATTTTGACCAATTCAGCCCAAATAACCAGGGACATCTCTACAATAAAAAAAAAATTAGGAACAAGGGCAATCAGCAGTAAAAAAAGGCTATTTAACAATTAAAGAAAAATTAAAACCTATTTAAACAAAAACTAAGGAAAAAGATTTTTATTAAAAGATTTTCAGAAAAGATTAATTTCCTACTAAAATTTTATTTTTAACTAAAATTTTACAATAAAGATTTAAAGGAAAAACCTAAACCTAGCCTAATTCTAAACCATTAAAGATTAAATTGAATTAACCTAGACTTCTAAACACAGAAAAAGGTACAAAAATAGGGAACTATTAGTCTTTCAATTTAAAATAAAGAATAAATATAAATTAACAGTGAAGACTATTAAGAACCTCACGCGTCATTCAATAGTTGCCTCAAAATAAATGGAGTCCGTGCTTGACTTAGAAGTCAAGTTAGAAAGAAGAACCAACGTAACCTTTCGAAAGAGATAAAGTTATAGAAATGAAGACATATATGTCAGCCACACTAATCTTATCATGAGTTTAATATAAGCTTAGATAAATCCACACTCATCTTATCATGAGTTTAATATAAGCTTAGCTAAATCCACACTCAAAAGCGGTAACACAATGGACATTTATGTTTTCATGCTTATGGTTGCATGCATATTTGTCCCTTCTCTCAAAACTTCCATAGCAATAAGTTCTATCGAAGTGTCCCAAACCATGACTGATGGAGAGACTTTGGTGTCAAATGGTGGAAAGTATGAACTTGGGTTCTTCAGCCCAGGTAATTCTATTAAACGTTACCTGGGCCTTTGGTACAAGAATATCCCAGTTCAGAAAGTCGTTTGGGTTGCTAATAGGGCCAACCCCATCAATGATTCCTCGGGTATCTTAACACTCAACACCACTGGCTATCTTGTTCTCACCCAAAATGGGTTTCTTGTTTGGTGTACTGACTCTCACAAACAAGCAGAGAATCCGGTGGCAGAACTCTTGGAAAGTGGGAATCTTGTGATAAGAAATAAGGGAGAAACAAACAAAGAAGAATATTTATGGCAAAGCTTTGACTATCCATCTGATACACTCTTGGCAGGGATGAAGTTAGGATGGGACCTCCGAACTGGTTTCGAATGGAAATATACTTGTTGGAAGAGTTCAGACGATCCATCCCCAGGAGACTTTTCTCGGGTTTTAAAACTCTATAACTATCCAGAGATTTATATAATGAATGGAACACAAAAATGGTTCAGATTTGGACCTTGGAACGGCCTATATTTTAGTGGAACACCAAGTCTATTTAACAACACCGTTTTCTATTTCAATATGGTCATCAATATGAATGAGATTTACTACTCATATAGCCTTTCAAATAGTGAAACCATCTCATTTACAGTAACAAACGAAACGGGTCAAGCGTATCGCTATGTGTGGACTGAGGATGATCACAAGTGGAGGACGATTGGATACTACCCGAGTGAGTTTTGTGACAATTACGGGCTCTGTGGACCCTATGGGAACTGCGTGAGAACCCAAACCCAAGTCTGTCAATGTTTGAAAGGTTTCAAACCAAAGGAGCCAAAAAAGTGGAACTTGTCTGATTGGCGTGGAGGTTGTGTCCGTAATGAACCGTTGAGTTGCAGAGGTAAAGACGAAGATGGGTTTAACAAATTTGAAGGGCTGAAAGTTCCGGATACTACACAAACATGGTTGGATGTGAGTTTCGGTCTTGAGGAATGCAGCATGAAGTGTTTGAGTAATTGTTCTTGCATGGCCTATTCTAATTCAGACATAAGAGGTGCAGGCAGTGGATGTGTCATGTGGTTCGGAGATCTCATTGATATGAAACAGTTTGAAACTGGAGGACAAGATCTATATATCAGGATGCCTGCTTCAGAGTTAGGTACGCTTAAGATCTTCCTAACCTTGATCTTTTCATTTAAATTACAACTTTGAAAAGTCTAAAATCAATCCTAACTTTATCCTTCATCCGTTTACAGAACATGTTTATAGCCACAATAAGATCAAAACGCTTCCAATAGTTGTTTCCACCGTTGCAGCAGGTTGTGTTGTTCTATTATGCTCCTATTTATTCTGCAGAATCCGCAGGAACAAATCTGGTAAATTTGTTTATTCACATTTTTTTACTTTAACACATGACTGCATAGAGGTAAATATGAAACAGTAAATATAAATATTAGAAGAAACTTATTTATATATTGTTTTGGTTACAAAACTTTTTTAT